ATTACCCAGGATATATCATTTGATAACCTGCTAAATGCGGTTGAACTTTTTGAAATTTATGGCTTCTTAAAAAGTAACTTCTCTTTTGTTTTGATGGCGGGATTCCGTTTCTTCTCCCCTTTCTCCAAATATAATTACGAGTGAAGCCTATATTGGTTCTGAGTTTCTCTTTTTGTAGCTTTTGGATTGAAATAGATTTCGTTAGTGATTTTCTTTTGTCTGTGAGATATGGCCATGAAATAGTGACACAACTACTTGTTCAGTGTCTTGAGATGTTCAGTTCAGATTAGAAATTACTGTCCAACCAACCAGGCACATTAATATAGCAGATATCATTTAATCACCAGCTGCTAGCTACATGGACGTGTTCCTTGGTTTATGATTTACTTGAGCTCTTAATTTCAATCTACAGACAGATCGCCTGAACCACCAATCATAATGATTAGGTAGATGCATCTGAAGCACTGATTTCTGTTCATCACTTCCCCCAGAGACCTAAATTCATGGTGTCCAACTGGAGTGCAGCAATGGGCAACAAAAATAATTAGGCGGATGAGATTTAACTAGATAAGATCAAAGCATTGTATCCGGTCACAATCCTACATCTGTTGCCAGAGAGTTGTGTTAACATATGCCAATAAACTAATAAATGCAGGCAAGCAATGAGATCAAACCATGTTTCCAGAAAATAACTTATTGCAGGTACCGAAAAAGCAGGAGAGAACCAGAAGGTCTTACATACGTTCCACGACGAATTAAAGAAGTTGTCTTTACATCAGTTATTGCTTAAAAAATCTGCCTAGCTTAATATTCTGTTTTGATCCCAAGTTATTGTCTATGTGATGACAATGTATGAGTTCCCCATTTTGCTGTAGCGTTTGTATTCTTTGTTCTGGAAGATCCTTACAAAGTTTAAGCCTGGAAAAATATTTGACATGTAACTCACTTATGGATGTGCTCCATGCATTCTTGGGGATTTGCTACCATGTGCTATCCAACATGGAGCAATACTGTAAACAGTTCTGTCCCGAAAAGCATGCATGGGAGCAACTTGTATAAGAGTTGCCAAAGTAAATTTAGAAAATTCACTGCCTATTTGGGCTTCGGTAGATGGAAAATAATCACTTAACTTTTCAATTGTTCAATTTGTAAGCTAAGAAATGCTTAAATGTGATTTCTTACATGAAACCAATCAAAACATGTTCAATGTACTTGATAAAAAAACATGCTCAATGTTTACGAAAGGTTGGGTTCCCTTTGATCCTGGATGTATTGCCACAATTCTGCAGTTTCCTCTCCCTCTCTCTCTCTTTGTTTTTTTTTATAATGCAACAGTTCGCTCTTTTGTAATATTTTATTAATTGAGAATTTTCTGTTTTTGCAGCTTTGCGTTTTAATATTTATTGGGACTAATGGTGAGACATACTTCAATACAGGAGCCTTAGTTTCCTGTGTACAGAATTTTCCTAAAAGCCGTGGTCCAATAGTGGGGATACTTAAAGGATTTGCTGGGCTAAGTGGTGCAATTTTGACACAAGTTTATGCTATGTTCAACTTTCCTGATCAAGCATCCCTTGTTTTCATGGTTGCTGTTGGGCCATCAATTGTAATTACCGCTGTGATGTTCTTGGTTAGACCTGTAGGTGGTCACAAACAAGTTAGACCTTCAGATCATTCGAGCTTCCTATTTATCTACAGCATTTGCGTTATCCTGGCAGCTTATCTGTTGGCAGTTTTGCTTCTTCAGGATTTAAGCAGTCTAAATGAGAATGTGGTAATCTTTTTGACAATTGTCTTACTTATTTTAATAGTGCTTCCGATTATTATTCCTATTTTTTTGGTTTTCTTCTCTGAACCAAGGCCGGTTTTGGAGGAGAGCCTTCTTCCTGAGCCAGAGAAACAAGAATCCTCTAGAATGGGGAGTTTCATTCTCAGCCTCAGCGAGGTAGAAGATGAGAGGTCTTCTGAGGAAGACACACTCCCATCATCAGAAAGACAAAAGAGAATTGCGCACTTGCAAGCTAAACTATACCAAGCAGCAGCAGAAGGAGCAGTTAGAGTCAAACGGAGAAAAGGTCCACGCAGAGGAGAGGATTTCACTTTACTTCAGGCTCTAGTAAAGGCAGACTTTTGGCTTATTTTTCTCTCCCTAGTACTAGCATCTGGTTCTGGTTTGACAGTGATTGATAATCTGGGCCAGATGTCTCAGTCGTTAGGTTATTCTAACACCCACATATTTGTTTCAATGATAAGCATTTGGAACTTTCTTGGTCGTGTTGCTGGTGGATACTTCTCTGAGAATATAGTAAAGTATGTTTCCAAGTTCCTAATTACCAATACAGTTTCTTCCTTATGGAAGCATTTTTTTCTGATGTTTTAACTTGTTTATAATGATTATCAGATACTATGCATACCCAAGACCTGTGGCAATGGCTGCAGTTCAAGTTGTTATGGCATTTGCTCTTTTCTTCTATGCTATGGGGTGGCCTGGTTCAATATACGTGGTTTCTGTGTTGATAGGACTCGGCTATGGAGCACACTGGGCTATTGTACCAGCTGCAGTCTCAGAACTTTTTGGATTGAAAAGCTTTGGTGCATTGTATAACTTCCTTACATTGGCTAGTCCAGCTGGTTCACTGATATTTTCTGGTGTTATTGCTAGTGGTATATATGACTATCAGGCAAAGCAGCAACATGAACATTGGATTCAAAGTTCCGGACTGGGTCTGGGAGTGCCTCTCGTTGTTAAGGATGACTTTCTTACTTGTTATGGTTCCATATGCTATTCACTCACAATGGGCATCATGTCAGGACTCTGCATCATTGCATTTATCTTGAGTATGATTGTTGTGCATCGAACGAAGAGGGTTTATGCACAACTCTATGGCAAGCCTCTAGCTTGAAGGGTATTCAACTTAAGACACTCTGCAGTTTATATCATTCAAATGTATCCTCATTCCTTGGCAGATTACTCAAGCGGTTTTGAGGAAAGAGAAGGCATCACAGATTTAATCTGCATGTACGCCCCCGGAAACTGAAGCCTTTGTCATGTCTCTTTGTACATAAACTATTTTAGAGTGTTCTTGACAAACACAATTTTTAGATTGCCAGTGAACCATATTATTCCTTCATGTAATACAGTGTATGAAGCCTTTGAAAAATAAAGTGTTTTTGTTTTTGTTTTGCTGGAGATACCAGTCATTTGTAATTCTTGATCATATGTTATGATTACTATTTGTGGTACAATGTTAAATTTTTGAAGAAATGGAGAATGTGTTTGTTCTTTCATCTTCCTAACAAGTCTTGTCTGCTTCTGTCATACTGGCATCTACACCGTCCTTCTTTGATATTCTAATCAAACGGAACATGTAAAGAGATAGTAGCTTTAAAATTCATCAGTGTAGAGAGCTATGCAAAAGACAAATGTTAGTCGGTTTGTTGATCACGCAAACTCAAAAGCATGAGATAGTGATAAGGATCTTGTAACTGAAAGTTTTGAGTTTTGTTTTTGGACATAATGTGTGAAAAAGTGATTTTCACTTAAATGTAACACAAAGTAAGTTCATGCAAAACGAAACACATACAATTGATGACCAAAACAAATAGGACACCCCTTGACGAAAAATTACAATTAATGTTGATATCCCAAAATACTTTTTTGTAAATAGTTTAACCATAGTTAAAAACTAACCATGGTGAGAGGACCCCCCCCCCCCCCCCCCTCCCCAGTACAAACAAAATACAAATAAATAGACCATGCCAAAAGCCAAACCTGAAAAATGTACTCTACTTAAATTCAGGAAAAACAAAACCTTATTCTTTCTCCTCTCTTTGCCGAAGAAATGGTTTTCTACTTTACCAGCCAACAAATTTCTCTAGGGTTTTCGAAATTCTGAATTGATCAATACTCTCTATAGCTTCAAACGGTAGAAATATTGTTTTTTTGACAACGATTCACTCTATTCGGTTCAACAATGCTTCGTTTTTGTAGGTATACTTCATTTAATCAAATGCTTCGTTGTTTTTATGCATGGTTGCATTCAGATTGTTGCAACTGATTTCTGCATTTCCGTTTATGAGGAAGACGATTTCTGCATCGATTTATGTGTACTTACATGTTGTATATATGTATCTCTGTGTTTGTGTGTTTTTGTGTGCAATTTTAGAAATAACCCTTGTTTTAGTTTTTTTTAGCGGTGGTGAGTGTAGATGACTTTGGAATATGAGGGGTTCAGTTATCTTGCTGAATTAATGTTGATTGAAGGCTTTGAAATTTTTATATGGATTCCTCTTATTAATAAGTAGATTCTTAAAGTCTATCTGGGTTGAGTACTTTTGGTTTTTGAAGCTTTGATAGTGGGATTCTTTCTAGATTCTGTGGTGAATGTTTTTACAAAGAAGGGAAAAAGTGCTATTTTTGAAGTGTATGATCTGAAATTTTGTAACGTCTGTATAAGGAGTAGAATTTCAGAATCATAAAAGGAAGCTTGTGTTTTTTGTCTGAAAAAAATGGATCACATGAGAAATCTGAATAAATGAACTTTATTAGTACATATGGTACTTTGACGGTGGAATGAGCATGAAGAGATGTATTTGTGGTTATATAACCTATTCAGTTACTATTTATTTGCTTAGAGAAACTTGAATGATATTCAGAATTGCTTTTCACGCCATTGTAATTTAGGTTTTCAAAAGGTTGGTAATTCAGCTTATTAGTTTCCCATGATTGTTTGACCAGTTTCCTTTAGATTTCGGCATATGATGCATGGGTTCTTGTTTGTGCTTTTCTGGTGTTTATGGAAATCGTACAGTGCATTAATTCATGACATCCATGAAAAATGTAATCAAACCTATAGTTTCACATTCGATTTGGCTTGCTTTTTGTTTTTTAAGTCGTCATTACTTTGTAGTACTTGTACCCTTTTTTCTTTTATGGTATTATTTCTGGCTTTTAAGTTTGCAGTTTTTGTGACTTGAATGATTGTATTATAGGCTTTGAAGAGTCAAAGACAGTTCTTCTCCAGAGTATTTGTGTGAAATAAACTTCACACACTAACCAGGGTGTCAAGTGTTGCTCCATTTGCTGGTTGAATCTGAGGGAGACAATAACATTTGCTCTTTGTGGTCTGCCAAAGTTGTAGGCAAATGGAATGTAACAAAGATGAAGCTGTCCGGGCCAAAGAAATTGCTGAGCAGAAATTAACCAAGAAGGACATTGCTGGAGCTCAAAAATTTGCTTTGAAGGCTCAAAATCTGTTTCCAGGCCTTGATGGACTTTCTCAGTTCCTGGAAGTGGTCAATGTGTATGTTGCTCATGAGAAGAAGACTGATGGTGAAGTGGATTTTTACAGCGTCCTTTCTGTAGAGCCCTCAGCTGATGAAGAAACTATAAGGAAACACTACAGAAGGCTTGCTCTAGCTCTTCACCCTGATAAAAATCATTCTGTTGGGGCAGATGGGGCGTTTAAGATTATATCTGAAGCATGGAACTTGTTGTCTGATAAAAGCAAAAGAATGATGTATGACAGTAAGCGTGCTTTGAGGAATGCATCCATGCAAGCCAACCAGCATGGATTTCGTAATTTCTCCATGAGCCCAGCAAGTGCAAGAAACTCAACAAATGCTAATTTCGAGCCCGTTCCGGTGGCTCCCCAGCCATCAAAAGTTGAGTCATTCTGGACATTGTGCAATCTATGCCAGATACGGTATGAATATTTAAAGATTCACCGAAACAAAATTATTATGTGCCCCAAATGTCACCAGTCTTTTCATGCAAGGGAGGTAGGTGCTCCTGTGAAAGATCAAGGTTCATCTTTTCCATGGCCTTCCCGCCAGCAGCAGCAGGGTACAAACCCTGCTGCTAATGAATCTTCTGCTTCAGGTGTCTCTACAGCATCAAATTCAGTACAAAGTGGATATTCTGGCTTTGGCTCAACAGTTAGGGCAAAAACTCAGCAGGATCAAATTTTTAAGAAGAGAGATGCAAATGGTGTGCAGCGCTATGCCACTACAGCTAAGCAAGCTGCACACCCTGGCCAGCCAGCTGGTGGAATCTCGAAGAGAACTCATGCAGAAGCGGCTTCAAGTGCACCGAACCCAGCTTTTCTGAAGAAAAGCAATCCATTCTTGAAAACTGATGCAGGTTTTGTTCCTGATTCAGTTTCCTCTAGTTCTAAAGCTGACAGGCTAATAAAAAAGAGACGCACAGCTGAGTTGAAGTGTAAATTTCAAGGTGCAGGTATGATAAATGATATTGCTGCAAAAGGTGGATCTAGCCAAGGAAACATACATGGAAATGAGAATGGTGTTTTGAGAGCTGAGAGGGTTGCTGCTGTGGGAAGTAACAAACCTAGGAGTTCAATGGAGTTATCCAATTTAGAAATTCGCAATATGCTGATGAAAAAGGCAAGGATGGAGATCAACAAGAAGCTGAAAGAATGGAGCACAACTGCTGCTTCTCGAACTTCATCTAAGAAGGAAAAAGAAGTAGAAATGAAGAAGCAAATTATCAAAAATGATCTGAGAAGGAATAAAGTTGCTCATGATGTTGTGATGAATTACAAAATATTACGCAAGCAGGAAAATTTGCCCGTCTTTAGTGCTCCTACTGACTTAGAATCAGAAGCTAAGTCAATGACTGTTCCGGATCCGGACTTCCATAATTTTGACAAGGATAGAACGGAACAATCTTTTCATGATAAACAAGTATGGGCTGCTTATGATAATGATGATGGCATGACACGTTATTATGCTTTGATTCACAAAGTGATATCTAGAAAGCCATTTAAAGTGCAATTGAGCTGGCTGAACTCCAGAAACACCTCTGAACTCGGCCCAATGAATTGGATTGGCTCAGGCTTCCTCAAGACCTGTGGAAATTTCAGGATAGGCAGACATGAAGTCAATATGACGCTCAATTCTTTCTCCCACAAGGTCAAGTGGGTGAAAGGGGTGGGAGGTGTTATTCAAATTTTCCCCAGAAAGGGGGATGTTTGGGCGCTGTACAGGCATTGGTCTCCTCAATGGAATGAGCTTACTCCTGATGATATGATACACAATTATGATATGGTGGAAGTGCTTGGCGACTACACTGAGAAAGAAGGTGTCACAGTTGCTCCATTAGTCAAAGTAGCTGGCTTTACGTCAGTATTCCGTCGGCATTTGGACCCTAAATATCTTCTCCATATTCCAAGGGAAGAGATGTTTTGCTTCTCTCATCAGGTCCCTTCATATTTGCTCACAGACCAAGAAGCTCCAAATGCTCCCACTGGTTGCTGGGAGTTGGATCCTGCGGCCCTGCCCTTAGAATTTCTTAGAGTCATGACAGACACTGAAATAGAGGCTCGTGGAAAAGTTGCAGAGACTTCAAAGTTGGAAAGGACATGTGGTGAAAGCAAAGAGAAGGAGAAGTCCTATGTGGTTGGTGACAACAGTGCGACAAAGGGCGAAGAGACTCTCAGAGATTCCATGAGCGTTGTCAAACAACCCATGGTGACATATTCAAGAAAGAAGAAGGAGAAGGCAGAAGCAAGTACCATTGAAACCAAGAGAGAGAAAAGCTAGGTTGCTGCTAAAGGCTTCTAGCCAATGATCAAGTAATTTTGGTGCTTTCTGTAGTTTCAGCTCGAACCTCCTTGTTTGATTGCTAATGATAGAGTAGTATAGATAAGAAGCTAATCCAGCACCCAAGTGAACATTTGGCCTTGATTTTTTGTGCTTCTATAGGTTTACCAGATCAAGAAAGAGCTATACTGTAAAAAACCTGAATCATACTGTATATTTCAAGTTTTTTTTTCAAGTAACTTCTGGATAATAAATTTTCTTAACCATCTTATGTTTACAATTTCTTTCCTTTTCCTGTTTCTTTTTAGTGTATTTAATGGGCTATGGGCGCTGTTCTTGTGAAGGTGCACTACAGGGATCTCAAACCACTTTCAACATAGAGTGTTAATCATTTCTCCGTTTTTGCCGTAGTCCAAATGATTTCTTTTCTTTTGTCTTTCTTCCTATTTTATAACTTCAGCTTCTTAGCTTTTCTTATTTCTGGTTCTTATATTTCTGCATTGTGCATAGAGCTAGCCCATAAATCAACCACTTTTGCATGCAGACTCATTACTGAATCCAGAGATCGTTTACCTGTATATAGAAGTGTGATTCCTGTAAGTCTATAAGTTGTGTGATTCAGTAGTTCTTGTTACTTGCTTATCGTCTATGAATTTGAAGTGCGATATTGGTAGAAATAGAGCCCACTGGCCATATTTTGGCTTCGTTTTTTTTAAAATAGTCATTTTCTAATCCTGAAGTAAACGTGTGAATTTATCATGGGCTTAGGAAGAAATGACTTTCAAAGTGGGATCACTGCATACCGTGGAAGAAAATCCTGCTATAAAAAGATTTGAATATTTAATTCCTTTCTTGAAAGACTTGAATATTATATAAAAGTGTCATTGCAACTCCATTAATTGAAGTAATAATTTGGGAGTTATTCTCCATCAACTTGCTTCTTTAGTTGACCCAATTATTCTCCTTTCCTGAACCCTGAGCCATGAAGTACATATAACACAAATATTGTGTTAAAAGCAGTTAATGTATCATTTAATTCAGAAAGAAATCCAAATATTGCTCATGAGCATGTGTGTATTATATGTATATAAACATATGGAGTAATTCGTAGGATTCATCTACATGACGTTGACGGATACACAAGGGCAGGCATATAGGCAGAGTATATAGAAAAGAACATGATGAAACACATATTGAAGGTTTTTGATAAACTTTTATCATTTTCTCGTAATCAGCTTATAAAAGTTTTGTTGTCCCTGCTTTATTTTTTGGGTGTAACAATAGATTATATGGCCCTAAGGTTTTCTTTTTCTTTTTAGAAGTTGAGACTTTGAACATTCTTTTTGGGTCTTCAGTGTAACAAGCTTGCAAAATTCAAAGAAAAAAAAAATCTCAAGTCTTGAAACATACTTCTTGCAAGAGGACCCCCTCTCATTTCATTGTAAACTGAAAAACATATAAAATGGAAAGAGAGATGAAGAGAAAAGAGAGGGGTCCAAGAAAAAGCTCATAAATATGAAGTTTGAAGATGCAAAAGGGCTTCATGTTCAAAGATATTTCTTAGAAGCTTTAAATTTTGGTCATTGTTTCTTATATATGTAATAAGTGTAAGAATCCACACGATACATGAACGATGTTAAAGAATATCAATCGTAGTTAATTAAATTGTAGTCTGACTCATTTGAGCATATTATTTTTGTAAATTTTCAATTGTTTCTCTATACTAATAATCAGTGGATCCGTCTGGATTGGGAGATTCAATGATGCCTCCAGGTTCTTAGAATCTATTTTTCTTGTTTTGGCACAGGTTGATCATGTCTATGATTTCTATTTCAAGGAATTTCTGTAGATGATGATTTGGACCTCTTGCATATTTTCAATTCATCCAGTATCTTGCTGTAATCTGCAATGGTGAGCTTTCTTGTGAAGTCTCTATTAAAGCCGTCAAATGATTGAGTTCGACCTAATTTTTTCTTGTTCTAGCCCTGAATTTTCTATACTAGGTACGGTTCGAGTTGTTATGGCATTGCAGCCTGGCAGGTACCATCTTGGAATTAGATGGGTGGGTAAAGCGAGTATTATTTTTATGTTTGATGAAGTACACCAAGTTTGTTTTCTGTTGTGTAGATGATGAAGCAAAGCAAGCCTGCTTTCTTTTGTGCAGATTTTGCTTTGCTTTTATTTGCAAGTTTTCCCATCAGATTGCATACCCTCTACATGTTGAAGCTTTACCCAGACTTCTTTCATATGAACTTTCTCAATTGGGCACCCTTAATTCTTGTGTTAATAGTGTGGTCTGTGGTCATCCGATTCAAGAAACTCTTTGATTTCAACTAGCGCATTTATCGTTCTGGAATCTGTAGTCACAATAGTGTTGAATTTTGCTGCCTGGATGAACATGATAAACATTCCTATTTTTTTTTTTCTTTTGTTTATCAAGGATTGGTTTTCTTAACGTAATGGAATAGGCAGTGTTCATTGTGGTAATACAATTATATATTGAATTTTGTCTCCAGTTACAAGGCAATCATTATCATTCTTTCAAGGTCGTTTTGGTGCTCCCTTCATGCAGATTGTCAACATCTAGAATAGGGTGATTGGCTCTCTCTATTATTCTTCACGTTGGGTCATTTCGTATGGGGAGATGAGGTTCCTCCGAACTTTGCACTCATTACTATGCCTTTCTTTCTGTGCTTGCAGTCGCAGGAACTTATATGTGAAGATGGTTTACTTTTTTTTTTTGGTCACACTAATGTATGAACTGCAGTTATTTTGTCAAGATGCTTATGTTCTTTGATCCCAGGCACAAAGTTGTCAGGGACTGCGGGGGATTGCTAATGTCTAAGCTGCTTTAATCTGTGAAGTTGTGGTACTGCTACTTTTGCCTGCGTTCCTTTATCTATCACTCTTAGATTGATTTAAGTTATGATTCAGGAATAGAACACATGGAAAGTTGATTGATGTTATTGGATGTGGATATGCACCTCTAGTTACAAGCTCTCAGAAAAGTTACATTTGCTGATTTAAAAGAGGAACAAATTAGAAGTCTTATCTGTTGGTCTGATAATTTTGGAAGTCTCATCTGTTGGTCTGACTTAGGGATGTCAATTTGAAGATGGTAGTAGGGAGTACTTGCAGGGACAATTCCTGTTGTCTTTCATTGCCCCTGGTAGTGGTTCGGAGCTTAACATTTTTGTTTTCCTTTGATGTCTAGTTTGTTATGATCTTCCTTCTTGGGGGTTGTGATGTGATTTTTCCTCTACATTGTGGGATATAGGTTATCCATTTGCAATTGGATCAATTGGTTTAGTGGAATTGTTTGGGTACTCAAGCATGAGTTCAGGTGTCGAAAAGTTATAAGTGTTACTTCCGGAGAGAGGTTTAGTCGTGTGATTATTTCTGTTCTGGTTGATAATTACAGATGTGATTGGTGAAGGGAGTGAATTTCGCACTGCTTGATCGCATTTGGAGTTCTTTATTTTGGGGTCAGTCATGGAGGAGATTTGTGATTATTTCTGTTCTGCTTGACAATAATAGATATGATTGGTGAAGATATGAAATTTGGCATGGCTTGATCGCATTTGAGTTTCTTTTTGGGGTCCGTCAGGTACATTAAGTTCATAGGTTTGTACATGCTGCTTCATCTTTTTTTTTTTTTTTTGTGAAAGTAATCTACCAATGTTTCTATTGATTTTACTATTGCTCTCTCTTATGTGGGGTTCCTTCCCAGGTGTGGTCTGAGTTGTTATGGATATGGATGCATGGGTGGGCATCTCGGATTTCGAATGCAGTTGCTCACGGAACCTTTTAGTGAGTCCATAGGTTCAATATTTATCGGAGCTTCACCGAGACTGATGGCTTTTGAAGTCACCCCGATTGGTTAATAAAAATTTTCTTCTTTGAATCGCAGTGCTGCTTTACTTTCCTCCAGAAGTTCTTCAAATTCATATGAGCTTTTATCGATCACGACTCTGTAGTTGTTGAAGTCATATGCAATAATGCTGTAGCTACTTTTAGTCTTTCTGTTGTTTATCATGGCTTGGTTTTTGATGAATAAAGTGCACGTGGGTCTAATGAATTTAGTTACTGCAGTTTGTCTTTGGTTTTACTACAAAATCAGGTGATTCTCTCTCTGGTCTCTTTATGTAATTATTTCCTAGATGGCATAATAAGGAGCTCTCAGAATCACAGACTAGTAACTTCGCTTCCTTTATGGTCAGATAGGTTTCTCTCTTTAGTCTCTTTACATCTGATGATTTTCTGGTTGATTAGGTTGTGCGAACTTCAGTATCCATAACTGGACCAAGTCTGTAGTTCACTGTTTCTTTCTACTTCTGGGATTGCCCTGTCATGTTTTTCGCTCGTCTTACAAGGTATGGTTTACCCATTTTGCAGTCTTTCAATCAGCTGGTCCAGCTTGCCCTTTTGGAAATGGAGATTCAAGCATGAATCAGGTTTCGGGAGTTTCAAGTGTTCGCTCTGGTGGGAAGGTTCAATCATGTGATTATCTTCTTGATGATCATACGTAACAACTTGATCTCGTGTGCAATACCGACCTCTTTCAGTACTTTAACTTGTATGGTCTCGTAAATTCGATTTGAGGTAGTGACTTCACATATTTGGCTGTGGGACAAGGATTGGATCATTGTTTATTTACACTTGGTGATCATCTAATTAATGAGTCTGAGAAGCTTACCTTGTGTTCTTTTCAGGTTATGTTACAGCTTGTTAGCCCGATGCTGGAAATAGAAACAGTATTGAACGAAAGTTGGTTGACTCTCCACACAGTAAAAGCACTGCATTTGGATATTTGGGTGAGTAGAAATGGTGCTTTTGAGTTTGAGCAAAAGCACTTAGCTTCCCTTAGTACAAGTACTAACATCCAAATACTTTGTGTTTCATATATTTTTCAAGAATTGCTCAAGAAACACTGAAGAGGAAGAATTTCTAGGGTTTCTTCAAAAGGTAATTTCTAGCCTTTTCCTTTTAACTATGATGAACATATGTGTATTATGAAGGTATTTTAGAAGTTGAAAATAGTAGCATTTGGGATAGAAGATAATGAATAGTAAAGTATTTTAATCGAGAATACGCAGAGAATATCTTTTTATCATGAAAAAATATTTCGTGAAAACCATAGTCATTATCGCTTGTCTATAGAGACACCTTATCGTAAAATTTCCCCACAGTATCCAGTGAAGTGGCCTCATGACCAGATGATGGTCATGTATGCCATTAAAACTTTACACCAGATTAGTTGAAAAAGTTAAGGTAAATGAAAACTAAGGACTTCATTCTTGAAAAGGGGGGAAAACGAAAAACCTCATAAATAGTATTTTCAATTTGATATTCAAAAAACAGAAAAGGAAGTTAGTTGATGGTATCTAAATATTTGTTTTTGCACCTTCACCAAAAAACCAATCCAAGTATTTGCACCTTCACCAAAAAAACAAGAACCTATGAATTTAGTTGGGTTCTTTTAGTAAGAAAGTCAAAGTTAACTAAATCTAAAATAGATTTTAGATATTATTAAGAAGTCACATATGAATTTCTATCTATTCAAGGAAGTATAATTATAGTCTGAAATTCAAAACTTTTCTCGGGGTGTGATTTGAAAGACCTAAGAAATTATAAGGAAGAAATTTAGTAAGGAAAATTACGGTTAATGTATATAGGCCAACTCTTTGTTCCGCAGGAACAAAACATGGTTAAAATCATATATCAATCATTAAAACTTTACACCTGATTCATAATCATCAACTCAATGCTAACTTCATTGTCATAACCTTAGTTGGAAAAGTTAAGATAAATGAAAACTAAGGACTTTATTCTGGAAAAAGGAGGAAACGAAAAACCTCATAAATAGCAAAAAAATAGAAAAGGAAGTTAGTAGATGGTGACAAATATTAGTATTTGCACCTTCACCCAAAAACCAAGAATCAAAATCTTTGACACTAAATTATTTTCCTTATTTACTTGTTCTTTTAATAAGAAAGTAAAAGTTAACTTTCATAAAGAAAGAAAGTAAAAGTTAACTAAATTTGAATATTTTTTAGATATTCTGATGAAGTCAAATATGAATTCCTATCTATTCAAGGAAGTATAATTTTATCGTCAGAAATTCAAAAAAATTCTCAGGATGGGATTTAAAAGATCGAAGAATGTAAAAGGAAGAAAATTTAGCAAGGAAAATTATAGTTAATGTTTATAGCCCAACTATCGGTTCAGCAGTAGCAAAACTTGGCAAAATCATTTTTGTCATTAAAACTTTATGCCAGATTCTTAAGCATCAACTTCATTGTTTAGTATGTTAATTGAAAATGTTAGGGTAAATGAAAACTAAGGAATTCATTCTTGAAAAAGAAGGAAAAAGAAAAACTTCATAAATAGTACTTTCAATTTATATTCAAAAAAAGGAAACAGTTCGTAAATGGTGATCTGAATATTAGTATTTGTACCTTCACCAAAAAATAAAGAATCAAAATCTTCAAACTGAATATTTTTTCTTATTTACTTGCATTCTTATGGTCAGAAAGTCAAAGTTATCTAAAACTGAAATATATTTTAGATATTAAGCTGAAGTAAATTCTTATCTAGTCAAGGAAGTACCATTATAGTTAGAAATTCAAACTAATCTCAAAATGTAATTTAGAATACAAGACAAAAGAAAACATAATGAAGAAAATTTAGCAAGGAAAATTACAATTAATGTGTATAGCCAAAATAATATTTTGGAAAATTTAATTAATTGTTATTAAATATTAACCATGGTACTGGTTTAACCTCTACTAAACCCCTCCTCCAACTATAAAAGGTGAAAATAAAGGGCTAGGCCAAACATGAAAAAAACACTTCACATTTAGGAAAACAAAAGCCTTTTCTCCCCTTTTTCTCTCTTTTTGAAACTTTATGCACCAAAACTGCAGATTCCTCTCGGGTTTGATGACTTGATCAACACTCTGGATAGCTAGAAGCAAAAGAAAGATATTTTTTCGGGTGGAAATTCAACAACTAGTCACTCTTTCCTTCCTTTTGCAGGTAAACTATATTTAATCAAATGCTTCTGCGTTGTTTCATGCATGGCTTCATTCAAATTGTTGTAACTATTTTCTGCAGTTGTTCCTGTGAAGAAGATAATTTATGCATGAGTTTATATATACATGTATGTGTATATGTGTATCTATGTGATCATGTATACAACCCTTTCTTTTTTCTTTATATCTGTGTTGCTAAATGACTTTGGAATTCAAGGATTTTGTTATCTTGCTGAATTCATGTCGAATACTTTTGGGTTTTGAAGCTTTGATTATGAGATTCTGTTCTAGATTTTGTGGTGAATGTATTTACAAATGAGAAAAAGTGTCATTTTCAAAGCGTCTGATATGAAATTTTGAAACTTCTATAATAAAAAAATGGTATCTACTACTTTTCAGTTTTGAATGATTTAAGAATGAAGATTTAGGATGTCTCTCCGAGCTGTCGAATCTTTCTTTAGTTTTGGAGAAAATAATTTACATAGAATTTTTTATTTTTTTTACAAAGCAATTAATATAGAGAATTTTTGGAGAAGGGTGACGATAGACGTTATTGCAAGTTCCTCTCTGTTATATCAATACCCCTATCTTCTTACTAATTAGGTTCAATTTCAGTAAGTTCAGAATCTTTCATGAGTTCTTGTTTTTGCTTTTCTGGTGTTCGTGGAAATTGTATAGTGCATTAATTCATGACATCCATGGGAAATGTAATCAAACCTATAGTTTCACACTCAATCCTGCTTGCTTTTCATCAAGTCGTCGTTACTTTGTGTAATTAGTACCCTTTTTTCTTTTATGGTACTATTTTTGGCTTTCAAGTTTGTTGTTTTTGTGACTTGTATTTTTGTAATGTTTGTTTTCTAGGGTTTGAACAATCTAAGACAGTTCACGCAACAACCTGGTAGGCAAAATGGAATGTAACAAAGATGAAGCTGTCCGGGCCAAAGAAATTGCTGAGCAGAAATTAACCGAGAAGGACATTGCTGGAGCTCAAAAATTTGCTTTGAAGGCTCAAAAGATGTATCCAGGCCTTGATGGTCTTTCTCAGTTCCTGGAAGTGGTCAATGTGTATGTTGCTCATGAGAAGAAAACTCGTGGTGAAGTGGATTTTTACGGTGTCCTTTCTCTGGAGCCCTCAGCTGATGATGAAACAGTAAGGAAACAATACAAAAAGCTTGCTCTAGCTCTTCACCCTGATAAAAATAAATCTGTTGGGGCAGATGGGGCGTTTAAGATTGTATCTGAAGCATGGAGTGCGTTGTATGATAGATCAAAAAGAATGATGTCTGACAAAAAACGTGCTACGATGAATGATGTTGTCAAAAAACCCATAACGACATATTCAAGAAAGAAGAAGAAGGCAGAAAAAAGTACCCATTAAAACCAAGAGAGAAACAAGCTCGGTTGCTGCTGAGGGCTTCGGTTTGATTGCAAATGATAGACTAGTGTAGATGAAGAAGACAATGAAAGAGCTATTCTGTGAAAAAGAACTTGAATTATTATTTTTTTTTTTTATGAAGTATGCATTTCCATTAATAAGCATCTAGAGGATGAAACAAACCAAGTATGTTTTCTTTTGTGTAGATGATTAAGCCGGCTAATATCTGCATAACTCTAATCAGCTATAAAACGACCCCTTACAATTTGACTCCCATTTGACCAAATTGTTTTGTTAGGACTGAATTCCTCAAGTTCTCGGCACAAAATCTCGTCTAGCAAAAATAGTAACTCTGAGTTTATAAAAGAATTCTTAGTTCATAAAGTTCTAAACTTCACCAATTGTTTTATAAAATTAATCTTGTTTTATCAAAGTATGGTTCATAGTCTACTAGACATCAAATTTGATATCAACTTTTTTTCTATTCATTATTGATCTTTTTGTGATATATGGAGGATTGTAGGATTTTTTTATTAAAATAACTCAAAAAGAATTATTTTAGTTAATGTTCAGGTTCATTCTTTAATACCTTATTGACTAGAATTAACTAGAATTTAATAAGAAGATTTTCTTACAATTTTATTGTTACACATGAATAAATTGTAGCAAATAATTTCATTAATAGGCTTGAATGTAGATTTAGAAACTTCTAGGTTCATTCATTTAATATGATTTAGAAAATTTATAATTAGATTTATTTTTCTCTATATATAGAGAACGCCCAGTTGTGTATATGTATCAATCTTCCATTTCTCTCTAAGCTTGTAAACAAAGAAAAAATCACCATGGAAAACAACTCTGAGAAATCCACAGTGAATGCAGCTCAATTCGCTGCGTACCCAACGCTATCGCAACTTAACGTTGAGAAGAATAAGCAAGAATATCTGAAGATGTTCTGGACATATCAGCAGAGAGAAATGGAGAACGTTAACGATTTCAAGAACAACCTGCTACTTCAACCTACCCGCATCAAGAAGATCATGAAAATGGACAAGGATGTCCGAATGATCGCTGCTGAATCGCCTGTTTTGCTTGCTAAGGCATGTGAGTTGTTCATTCAAGAACTCACCCTTCGTTCCTGGCTTAACACTCAAGAAAACCATCGACGTATTCTGAAGAAGGATGACGTCACTGATGTGATTATGCAGACTGACAATTTGGATTTCCTTGTTGATGATGCTACTCATGACGGCTCCACACCAAGTGTTGTGCCGTTCTATGTTGATGGAGGCAGCAATGGACAGGATGGTAATAATCTTGATCATTAAAGGTAACGTTCTCATTTCCTTAATTCATACCTAACAAAAAAGTACTAAAAACATACTCTTTGTCTATATTGTTTGATAATACAGGTTTTGATGTTTAGTATTCAGCTCGTGGTTATTGCTATCTCTGATCGAGCAACAGTATTGGCGAGTCCTTTTCATCACTTCGAGGACAAGTATCCTTATCTTCTTTTTTTCAATTATTATTTTCACTTTCAGACAGTTGGAGTTAGCAAGGGATTTATCCTAGCAACTCATATTAGTAAAGACTTTTAGACAGTCATATCAATATAGATTCTGCTTATGTTATTTCTTTCATATATTAGTCTATCTCAGTGTTATGGGGATATATATATATTTCAGATTTAGCTTCCGTGTTTATGTTTCAACTTTTTATTGATTTATGTTAATCTTAGTGTCATATCACGCCATGAGGTTAGTTTGGGGTAATTACTTGTGGCTCTAAGCACTGTGTCAGATCTAGGGGTAATCTCGGGGAGTGACATAAGATCCTATGCTTACAAAAGAATTTTTGGTTCATAAAAGTTCTAAACTTCACCAATTATTCTTTAAGTTTAATTATACTTTATCAAGATATAGTTCATTGTCTACGACACACCAAATAATACTTGAAACCCACCAAAGTTTCTTATTATTATTATTTTATTTTATTTTTTGCAATATGTGGATGATTATTGGAAAAAAAGATTTGGGTATCTCAAAAAAAAATATTAATGTTAGGTTAATTAGTTAATATCTTGTTATAATTAGTATTTAATATGATAATTAACTAACAATTTTATTGTTACATCATATGAAATTGTTACAAATCTCCATTGATAGGCTGTATGTAGTTGTCTGATGCTTATATATTTGGAGTCTAACTAAATCTGAATTCGCGCTAGTAAGTTTCTCATTGAAGTAAAACGCTCCCTAAATGGCTTTTATCATGCCTTTATTCTTTGGCCACCTTAAATGGCATTAATCTTTATTATTTTCTATGAGTCTCTATCGTTCTCCTTAAAAATCAAATATGAAACTTCATACACCTTAAAGTTCATATGGTTCATTATACATATATCGTTTTAACGTATTGCCCAATTGCCGATTCACTGCGCCTACCTAGATCTTATGGGCATTGCAAGCTTTTTCATCCATTCGCATGAGATTCTTGAATGTTACATTATCGATTTGATTATCGATTTATCAGTTATTGATTGTTATCGATTCGATTATCGGTTTATCGATTGTTGATTGTTAATTATAGGTTCGGTTATTGGTTTAACCATTAAACTTTGACACAAAGGCGCACTATAGATCAATTCAAAGACTAAAAGAAACGCTGAGGAGTGTGAGATTCTTATCAATTTGAGAAGATTAACAATGATAGTACGTAATCCAACCTATGTGATTGGAGATTAAATGAGCTAGGTTTGTATATGCAATAACAAGTCATTAGTAAATATACATTAGTAAACTACGGTTATCCCTCCTATGATGTGTGAATATAGTGTTATACCGCAAATAAGTGAGGCTAAGTTAACGTTTAACCCAATTCAAATCTTTTATAAGTCGTATATTGCTCTGCAGAATACATTTGATAATTGGACCTATAGATTTTAAAACACGCATGAATTTTAGGATATGCTCATCATGACATGTTAGTACAAAAATTGCGATAACAACAATGATTTTGTGAGTATAGTTATGTGATATAATAAAGCTTGGAATTTATAAAAAAAATCTAAGTTCATAGAAGTTCTCAACTTCACCAATTGTTCTATAAAATTAATCTTGTTTTACCAAAGTATGATTTAGAGTCTAAAAGACATCAAATTTGACGCATTGTTCACATATCTTAAAGCCCATTTATAACAAACGTTTTAATTCTTTCTATTCATTATTGTTCTTTTTGTGATATATGGAGAATTGTAGAATTTTTTTAAATTAAAATAACTCAAAAAGAATTATTTTTATTAATGTTCAGGTTCATTCATTAATACCTTATTGACTAGAACTAACTAGTATTTAATAAGATGGATTTCTTACAATTTTATTGTTACATATTAAATTGTAACAAATTTTCATTAATAGGCTTGATGAATGTAGATTTAGAAAATCTATAATTAGATTTATTTTTCTCTATATATAGAGAGCGCACACAGTTGCATACATATATCAATCTTCATTTCTGTGTGTCTGAGCTTGTAAACATAGAAAAAATCACCATGGAAAACAACTCTGAGAAATCGGCAGTGAATGCAGATCAATCTGCTGGGTACCCAACGCTGGAGATGTTCTGGAAATCCCAACGGAGTGAAATGGAGAACGTTAATGATTTCAAGAGCAGGCTGCTACCTCCACCAACCTGCATCAAGAAGATCATGAAGAAGGACGAGGATGTCCGAATGGTCGCGGCTGAATCACCTGTTTTGCTGGCTAAGGCATGTGAGTTGTTCATTCAAGACCTCACCCTTCGTTCCTCGCTTAACGCTCAGGAAAACCATCGACGTATTCTGAAGAAGGATGACGTCACTGATGTGATTGTGCAGACTGACTATTTCGATTTCCTTCTTGACGTTGTTCATGCAACTGACCCCTTCACACCAAGTTCTGTTCCGTGCTATGCTGCTGGAGGCAGCAATGGACAGGATGGTAATAATCTTGATCATTAAAAGTAACTTTCTCATTTCCTTAATTCACACCTATAAGGTTACAAAAAGTATTGACCATATACTTTCTGTGTATTGCTTGATAAAACAGGTTCTGATGTTCAGTATCCAGCTCGCGGTTAGTGGTACCTTTGATCAGCGAGCAACTGAGTCCTCATCACTTCGAGGACAATCCTTTATCTTTCTTTTCAGTTATTACTTTCAGTTTCAGACAATTGGAATTAGCTAGGGGTTTGTCCTAGCAACTCCTACTAGTAGAGGCTTATTGACAGCCAGATATAAATTTCTTATGTTAATTTATTTCAAATATTAGTTTATCTCAATGTTATGAGCTTTATATAGATGTTTCGGATTTAGCGTCCGCATTTATGTTTAAATTTAATGTTGATTTATGTTAATTATAGTGTCATGTCCCGTCATGAGGTTAATTAGCTTGGGGTCATGACTTATGGCTCTAAGCACTGTGTCGCGTCTATCGGTAATCTCGGGGTGTGTGACATAAGATCCTAGGCTTACAAAAAAATTCTTGGTTTACAAAAGTTCTAAACTTCATCAATTATTCTATAAGTTTGATCTTGCTTTATCAAGATATACCTCATAGTCTACGATATACCGAGATTCAACACATTATATGCATAGGTGAAAAACTCATCAATTTTTCTTAATATTTTTTGTATATTTTGTTATCTCCTGTATTCAGATTAGCAAACCAGAAATAATAAAAGATGAAAAGAAAAACACAAAGAACTATCCGAGTCCACAGAACTCACTGTGTGTCCTTAAGAAATTTAATCCCCTCAAGTACCCGAGGTTACAGATTAATTCCTCCCAAGATAAAACGAATTAACCATTAAAGAAGTAGCGGTACCTCAAACTTTGATAATTTCAACGAACTCAAAATGATAGCAACGAATCACACACACAGACACGATCGATCGATTTTGTTTTGTAAGAAATGTATGCAAAAGAAGGAAAGAATTCGATACAGAAAAATGAGAGAAAACCTCTCTATTTATAGCCAACAAAGGGTAAAGGTCACACCCCTTTGGAAAGAAGACAACCTTTCAGAAAGGTCACAACACTTTGGAAAAAGCATAACCTTTCAAACGGTCACAATCCTTTAGAAAGGACACAACCTTTCATAAAGTTCACAACCCTTTGGCATAGTCACAACTCTTTAGGAGAGTCACAACCCTTCATTTCCTGTTCACACCTTTAAAACCCAACATATTCATGTTGTTTAAATTGAAGCACACATTAAGAAGATATCAAACACTGGGGCACAATATTCCTCCAAATGGTCATGTATACTATTTTTCCTTTATCAACCAATTCGATACACTTCTATCTGTGAGCAAGATTAGAAGGTGCAAAGTTTCATGTTGCACTGATTCGTCCCTTCAGCTATATCTTTATCGAAAAAGAAAAAAAAAAAGAAAAACTCATCGCCGGTCTTACATTTGGTTTCCCCATTCATCAAGACAATTATTTATTGGAATAAGTGAATTATTTTCTGCTTAAACGATCCAGTTTATGAAGAAACTATTCCAATGCAACTGATATTCCGTACTATCATCCACCAATGGATCATGATGGGTCAGTTTAAATAAAACTATGGACTTCATTCTTGAAAAATGAGGAAAGTAGAAAAATGTCATAAATAGTATTTTGAGTTTGCATCTTTGCCAAAAAAAAACAAAAAAAAAATTCACTTGCGCTCTTTTAGTAAGAAAGTCAAAATTAACTAAATCATAAAAAAGATTTAATATTACGTTTGAAGTTAATATTATCAAATTTCTATCTATACAAGGAATTATAATTATAGTTTGAAATTCAAAACTTTTCTCAAGATAAGATTTAAAAGATCGAAGAAAATATAAGGAAGAAAAATCACAGTTCAGGTATATAGCCCAACTATCTCTTCAACAGTAACAAAACATGGTTATAATCATATATCAATTATTAAAACATTACACCAATAACTTCAATGTCACTGTGTTGGTTGAAAATTTAGAAGAAAAAAAAACTAAGAACTTCATGCTGAAAAGAAGAAGAAGAAGGAGAAAAATGAAAAAACCTCATAAATAGTAGGTGCCTAAATAATACTCCCTCTGTCCCAATTTATATGACTCACTTTCCTTTTTAGTCAGTCTCAAAAAGAATGACACATTTCTATATAAAGTAACAATCTAACTATAAAATATCTATTTTACCCTTAATGAAATGATTTATAGTCACACAAATTTCTATCATTCATTTTGGACCACAAGTTTTAAAAGTCTTCCATTCTTTTTTAAACTCCGTGACGAGTCAAAGTACCTCATATAAAAT